CATTGTTTCACATAGAGCTAGGCTAATTCAAATACTAATTATCCAAATTCACATGCTGACAATATTTACTTTTTATATAATAGCCTACTGTTACAATGACAATTATTGACGTCCCTGGAAGTCCCCAAATGAAAAAAAAAGTCTATAGTGTTTTATAAAAAGCTAATTAAACTAACCAATGATTAACTCCTAACTCTATTCTAACTTTATTTATTTGCTTTCATTCACTTATTTTTAATAAGTATCACCAAATGTCTACAAAAGGACGTTTTGATCATATTTAGCTTATAGCATAGAACATATAGGCTACAGATTTCTCCTATAACCCTGTCAATCTTGTGTGGAAGTTTCTGATAAGCTCTTTTTATTGTGACAAAACTGCTGAAAAATGCACACATTTTCTTATAAGTTGAATAAACCTTTTTGGGGACATCTTCAAAAATAAAAATGCTTGATGAAGAGACACATTAATGTCTTAATTCAGAGCATGTTCACTGGTTAGCAGGAGTTCATCTCATCACACATGGACGATGGTCCCTCTAGTGGTGCAGACACGTGTGCTCGAAGCTTCTGCTTTATGTTATCTGCTAGCCGCTACCTGAGTTAACAGATTATAAAACCTTCTGAAGACCAGTAGCTATTACACACATGACTCCATCAAATACCTTCCTTTTGACTCCCTCGGGATTCCAGATCACACGCTTTTTTCTTTAATTCCCCATTCAGATTATTATTTGTCCACTATTTGCATTAACAGGCCACTTCATCTTGTCAAATGTTTCAGCAAACTGTCTGTTTGCTGAACAGACTCCGTCTCCACACCCCTCACGTGTGCAAAACAGCTTTATCTTTGATTCTAAGAATGACACCAAACAGTCTTCGGAGCTTAAGGTTAATGCTTGGGAAAATGTGCATAAAACTATACCATTAAGCATTTTAAAACACTCGGAAATCTTCTTTAATCATCCTTGCTTAAGGGGACATGTGTCGGCTGGATTGCTGTTTCACCGCTCCGGTCTTTTGTTGAAGGTTTAAATCCTTTGACCCAGTGACCCAGTCTAAGTGGCTTTCTCTTGTTCTTTATCAGATTGCCACACCGATCGCTGTTAAGACTGTGTGGCCTTAAGTCACGAATAAGGATTTGAGCAGAAAAGTTGCAGATAAGGGGTATTTGAGAAGCATTACAACACTCTGAATACTTAACACACTCTATCAAATGTGAACGTATTTACAATACAGTATATGTAAGGGCTCATGTCTTATTTACACATTTTAGGCAAGATGTAAGAAGGGGAGACCAGGGTTGGTGGATTACGGGTTAATATTTTGGTTCATTATTGCATATAACACACTATATCAATACATTAAAAGATCAAAATGACAGCACCTATGGAGAACAACCAAAAACAATCCTAGTAAATCAATTAAAAATAGAAATTTTTTTTAGAGAAAGACATTAAAAATATATGAATCGGTTTAATAAAAGAAAAGTTAGAAGAATTTTGGTATCTAAATAATGCTATAGCAGGCTGAGATCATTATTGAGAAGAGTGTAAGCGAGGAAAATCGGTACATTGGTTTTGGGGTCGGGTGGCAACTGTAAAATAATTGATCATACCCGCACACACACACACACACACACACACACACACACACAACAGGACCACAACCACCGTAGATATTGAGAGGGATACGTCAATATTCAGAATAGCGGTCAACCAATGTGTTTTTATTAATGAATTAATGTAGTTAAATGGATGATGCTTAAAATATTACATTTGGTAATTTTAAATGATTAAAAAGTGTGCATGCAAAAATGCTTGAAATTAAAGCAATTAGAATATCAATCACAAAAATAATTACATCAAACATATCCATATTGAGTGGTGTTTGTTTAGTTTAAAATAAACATTTTTATCTGAAAATAAATCCTTTTAACACTGTGCCAACCAGTGCTTGGACATTTGCACAACATAACTGTGGTCATAAATCAATACACTTACTAAACATTTTATGACAATGATTCATCGTTTTTTCCCAATGACTTTCATTTGCACAAACAGATTTATTAATTCATTGCTTTTTATTAATTCATTGCTTTTTTTAAAATCCAAAAATAAACCCATCTTCAAGTATAATATAATATATATGTAAGTATCTAACATCTTGTGAATTTGTAAAATTACAAGTTATTATAAAATAGTTTTGATGAAGTCGTGGTATTGAATAGTCTTTTAGCTCAATAAATAAATAAAAAACAATACATACAATACAGTGATTTTGAATAATGTGATGCAGCATTTAGGTGGTTTGGAGGACCACTGGTGCGTGGGTCATCCGTGTGGGTTTCAGCGAGACAGTTTTTCATGGGCTGACGAACCTGAGATTGACCAAAACTCAAGCATTCTCAGGTTGGACAGTCCTCGAAAGCACTGCTCATTCAGGATGGTCAGATCATACTGACCACAGATTACATGCATCATCTACATTGTCTAAAAAAAAGGAAAAGAAGTAATAAATAAGAAAAAAATATTAGCAAAATCTAGACCTGCCAAATTAAATCAAAATATGTGTATCAATTTCATACACAGTAAATGATGAGAATAATTGCATATTTTCTTTCTTGAATGCAGGATAAACATCGTCATTTACAACCACATGAAAATATAGAACGCTGAATGAAATAGATGGGGAAACACATTTAAAATCATACTTGTGAAAAGTTACTAAATGTCTCCTACAATTTCCATTTGACCAGTATGTAAACATGAATCCAATCCCATGTGGAATACTGAAAAGTGTAATATTAGCATGATTTCTGCAATTTTCAGATTGTGACCATTTCAGGTACGTGAATCAAACTTTGAACACTCAACATCACGTTTACAAAAACACATTGACCAAATCTTAAGAAATCTCATAGAAATATCCACCAAGTACTTCATATACTGTATGCCCTACTACATAAACAAGCAAATAGATTCAGTAAATCTTTTAAGACTCATCTTTGACAAGACCCTACCCTTACAGTATCTATCATGCTGTACTCTGTGCTATATAGTATATCACGATGTGCCAACTTTCGCGCCTTTCCAGCTGGAAATGGCCACTGAAACCTTTACCTTGCAACATCCATAACATCTAAACAGCTACATACATAAAATATGAATTGTTCATTACTCTGAAGCAAAAACAAAGTGTTGCAATTATTACATTACAGCTACTTAGAGACAATTAGCTCATCCGTGTCTGACTGTAATGGCCTCGTGGCTTTATAGAACAACACCGCCCCACGGCTTTAACCCTCCTTATCTCTCAAAGATCAAAAACCCATAAAACACGGCTCCTACCAATCACTTTTGACACCAGAATGCTGTTCAAAATCATGAAATCTTATGAAATGATTCACGGATGCATTGGTTGACCTCGTCAAAAAAAATATAAAGGTAAATATTCATGCACAAACATCTTCCCACATGTATTTCAGGCTCCAAAAAGTCCTGGATTTCTCACTGTACACTTAATTCGGCATTCACTGAGGGCTGGTACACGCAGCTATGCAAAACACTCACCTCTGCCTTACCTACACAGACGTTCAATTGCTCCTCATCACTCCATACTGAGAGAGGATTTTGAGGCTTTCGAAATATGCGCTGAAGCCCTCAATTCAAGCCGTAGAGAAGCCGGACCATCAGGCTGATGCTCACACACTCGCTCCCTCCAGTGTTGTGACCTGCAGGGCCCTCGCGAGCTGCTGGAGATGCTGTAGAGCTTTCTACACATGAGCAAAGTGCCTCCTTCCTGTTTGTCACTATGAACAAACTTGTGGTAAACTTTCCATGACATCTCAATATTGAGGGCCACTAGAGCACGTTTCATTCATCTCAACCGCTCCTTTTTAAAAAGTCTTATGTGACGTGGTGATCGTTTTATGACAGAGGAAGAGCACGATTATAGTTTTTCTGAAATGAAAATTTGAGAAAAGTGGTTGCAGGTAGTTTTGAACAATGCTTAACTTTGACTTTTGTCTCCGCTTGTTCATTTCAACCAGGCTGATTATAATGAGTCATATCAACCAAACGCTGAATTAGTCACTTACATTAATATCTTAAAAAAGACAAATGTTCTCAGTTTGCAGGACGTACACTTCACAGAAGCTCTTTTAAACATTCATTCCATGTTGCGTGTTGAATTAAAAGGTCAGCTGATCTTTTAGTGTAGACGACACTGAGAAGAGTAGTTAGTTGATATTATAGTGTTGACTATCATAGTTATAAAGTTAATTATGGAAACTGATGAAAGATTGCTAGGTTAGTTTCCATATCGAGAGGACAACCACAGCATCCTTCCTGTGTGTTTGAGACATGAATGAGTTTCATTCCCGCTGTCGGTATTACAAAAACGAGGCAAAATGCATACAAAATACAAGAAAAACTAAGCAAAATGCATACAAAATACAAGAAAAACGAGGCAAAATGCATACAAAATACAAGAAAAATGAGGCAAAATGCATACAAAATACAAGAAAAGTGCCATAAAACAGTCTAATTCTACATTAGTACATCTCTTCAAATCTCTGGAGAGTTTTTGATTGGAAAATTCATTGATGGTGGAATTCTCAGACATCAGATGTAATTAATGTCCTCAAGAGACAAACAATGTACATAGAAGATCAACTGGCTATTGCAATTAAAGCGGAAAAGAAATGCTGTATCACCGTACAAAAGTCTGGGGTCAGTGAGATTTTGAAAAAAAGTATTTTATGTTTATCAAGGCTGCATTTATTTGATCAAAAATACAGTAAAATCAGTAATATTGTGAAATATTATTACAATTTAAATTCACCATTTTAAAACATTACTGTATGTATATGCATATTTATATTTACACACATACATAGCACTAACAGGGATCATTACACGCAGCTCATCACAATTATTACACTGCCATTTCAGTTCAATTAAATCAGATAAATCAATAAATGAGCATGAAACACTGACTTGAGTTTAAATGAATTTATTATGCAAGGTGAAACAGACTGTGGATATGAGAGACTGTTATCTAGAACATCGGTTGCCGGGGACAATGGTCAATTAAACAGTGTAGCAGTCATTACACAAAAATATCAGACTGACCAATCAGAATGAAGTATTCAAGAATGTGTGCAATGACAATGCAATAAAATAAATAGCTCCGCACAAATCGTAAGACTTTTATTCCTGTTGTGGGACAAAAGTCACAGCAGATACATTCACTAGATCTTGACTTTGTCAATGCAGATCTCAGTGCTCTCACATTAACACAATATTGTTTGTTTTTTCTGCCAAACTATTTTTTGTATTTTACAACCAAGGAATTTTCTTTTGGTTAACTACAAATATAAATTAAAAAGTCAGTGTAAATCAAATAAACGACACGCACACACACACATACAATCGCATTATATTTCTATAATTAACTAATTTCTTCAGGCTAGGTACTTTCTCAAAGTGAAAGTGCTCAGTGGGGTAAAACGATAAAACAAAGAGATATCAATGCGTCACCCATAATAAGAGCAAGCACTATGCTCATTTGGTTGAATTTCAGGCCAAACACCAACACTTCCTGTGGGCTAGTTTTGTTCTTATACGTCCTGTATGTTCTCGACGTGACAGCAAACATCAAGCAGATGTCAGCCATATATGGTAAAGGCAGCTATAGACTCACTGGACAGATGCAAGACGCTGCACTTTTGTGAGTCAAAAAAACAAAACAAAACATGTAGGTCATTCTCATCGCAGAACGCAAGCTTTTTCCACAAAGATCAAAAAGAAAACTTTAAATGTCTTAAAAATCAGTGGCCGTTGATTAGACACGAACTACAATAAAGATCATTTCTACGTTTAACAGGAGCTGCTCCTTCATGCTTCCGTTCGACAGTTTGATCATCTCATATCCCTTAAATTGAGCTCAGCATCTGGCATCTAAACAAACTGTCAACATTTTTGCACAAAATTTTAGAAAAACGTTACAATGTTTAAGTTCTTGTACAGAATGCAGTGCTCCGTTGTGAAAGTGTAATTGTTAACAGCCTGTGGTTTGGTCAGCAGCCGTCTGCAGGTAAAGCGAGAAAGCAAAGATTAAAACAAAGCAACGCCCACACATTTTTTCCGATGAAGTGGTCCTTCAAAGAAATTCACTGTCTAAGTGTAGCAAGGCAGCGCTTTGAGTCTTACTTTACTCTCTGAAACTTGACTGCTGCATGAAACGGGAGTTAAATAAAAGTGACATGTTGTATGCCGTGACAAGCAGACATACTGTGTTCACATGCCAAAAATACTAAAATAGCAGATTCCAAAAGTGGCAGCAAACACAAAAGGCAATGAATCAACTGCATGTGCTTCAGAATCAAACATTAAACGACAGTAAATATTATTAAATAACTCACATAAAAAAAAAAAAAACATCTAAATAAACCTTCATAAATAAAAACTTCACATAAAATACTTCAACTTGGGAGTGCCAAAAAGTATAAAAATATTTTATAATGTACAAATATCAGGCGTGATTATCAGAGTGGCTTCACAAATCTGTGCGGATGAAATGATCTGACACTCAGGTCAGCAGCTGGGCTCATCCATGTCATCATCACTCCAGTCTGGAGGTGCATCCGTGCCAAAATAACGATCCCCAAAATTTCCTGAAAAAAAAAAAAAAAATTCACAATTTTAAATGATTAAATGTTTAGGTATTACTAACATTTTTTTGCTTATAACATAATTTTCATGACAATTAAGCACTTTTTTCCTGCAAAATTTGTATTACTGTAATGCATCGATGTTTTAGAGTTGTAATTTTCATTATTCTAACCAGATTCTCCCTTATTTTTTTGTATTCAAATTTAAATTAAAAGCAGTACAACAAACAGCATTTTCATATCATCAACTGATCTTATTCACCCCAAACGTTTAAACAGGGTGTGTGTGTGTGTAATATAATTAACCAGTTTACAGTATTTCAATGGAATATTAAATATTCTATCTGAGCCCAGTGCGTGAGTTTTTCAAGTTTGCCGCATCCACAGTAGCACTGTATGACTGATGTATCGATTTTATTACATTTTTTCCTTTTTATTTAAATTATTTACAAACTGGTAATAGTAATACAGATTTTAATGCCATGTCAGCATCTGAGGCTGTTTTCATGGCAAAAACAGAGTTACAAAATACAGGAGTTACAGAAATACAATAACAATAATAATAAAAAAAACAAATAAAAAGAAAGATACATCATTTAAAATTACATGAAAATGTAAAGATGTTTTACATTTACATATGATAAAAATTCTAAAACCTATTTTTACACTCTGGTTAACAAGATTGTAAAATATCTGTTAATCCTATCCTCAAATAAGTGTAAATAAATATATTTTGCCTTTTAAACACATTTGCAATGTTCGGCACTGTCACTGCTACACTGCAATGTTGAGAATCAGAGTCTGCTGGATTCAAAACATGTCAACTGATCCACCTCCCCTGAAGAGTAAACTTAAAGCTACTGCTTCCATAGACAGAGTATATTTAGTACTTGTGTAATTAAATGCCTGAAACCTAAAATAAACATCATGTGGTTGAAAATACTGAACAGTTGTGATATATGACAGGCGGTGAGCGAGTCTCTCTCTGGTTCAGTGCCACTCAAAGCGGGAAAGCAGATTTGAATTTAGCAGTTGATCATGTGACACACTGAATGTTCTAATCACAGTGGCGGGATCATCCAGGTCAAAGGGTTAATATATAATAATACATTAATTTATAACCATGAAACAAATGTCACATTGCTAAAAACCTTAATGGGTCCTAAAGGTAAAAAAAAGTCTTCACTTTCCATTAAGCAAAGTATAATTGTTTTACAACCCAGACATGCTCTTGGCTGGTTTTGTGAGAATGGCCCCTTTGTGTATAACCACTACGACAAAAGGCCACAGTCAAGCAGATAAAGTAAAGCTGGGGTTCAGAGTCTCACCTATGCCGGGGATGATGTGGAACAGGTCATTGACCTTCTTGTCGACGGCGGTGGTGATGATTTTGACCTGAGGGAAGGCGTAGGCCACAGAATGGACACCCATCTCAGCCATCAGCAGAGACACCAGCAGGATCTTATCCTCCTGAGCGTCATGATCCTACACACACACACACACCTCATGAAGAAAACACAGTCCTGCTCCTCCACTCTCTATCTGTACTTCCTATTGCTTCTCCACTTTCCAATCTCAAGCAAAAAGCCAATAAACAAAAAAGTTAGTGTACTTGTTTATCAAGGAGGCAACAGTGTGCCATTTATTTCCAAAAATGTAATTTCCACCACATAATTAAACATAATACTTCATTTCAGATGTGGAGTATTTTTTAGATCATGCATTTTCAACGTTAGTAGACAAATTCTATTTAAAATAAACTAGTGAGAGCGTGAGTAGTGTGTTCTCAGCAAGTTTATTTTGTTAAAATTCCACCGGTGCCAAAAACGGCCTTAGAAACTGATAAATACAGCTCAGCCTCAGAACAACTGCAGAATTAATATGTGAGAATGTGTAAAGTTATGTCATGCTGTATGGCCGCTGTCAGCTAGTGAGGTTTCTCTGCTACGCCTACACTGACAGACAACCAAACTGGGCCGCTCTACATGTGGTGCCTGAGTAGGCGTGTGTGCCTGTGCCACTGCACACTATCAGTTCCATTAGATGGCAAGAGGTGTTGCAGTTGTGTGCGTGAGAAAAGGTTCAAATGCAGACTTACAAGTAAAACTCTGATAGCCATCATGGCTGCCGCTCCAGTGGACACAGTGCAGTCCGTCAGAATCACGTGATCCTCGCTGATGTCTTTGGGCAGACGCAAATAGTGCAACTGGACGGGAACATAAAAGAAAGCTTAAATGTGCAGCAATAATATGTCTAAATGCATGAATAAATCTAATTAATAAATAAAAGTGAGTGAGTTCATGCGATTATTTAAATATTCAATGAAAAATATATTTATTCTATATTACATTGTGCAAAATGGCTGAAGGCAGAACACCTGCTTCAGTATGTATCACGTAATGGAAATATGTTAAGAATTATACTTCACCCCCCCCCCAAAAAAATTGCATTGCTGCATCATATTGTTGTGAAGAACAGAAAGATGCGAGTACGATTAGAGCACTGCTAAAGGCAGATTTTGTATTTTCACTATATATATATATATATATATATGCACATATCCCACTGCGTGTCAACCACACGAATTGCTGAAACCAATATTTTCACATATTATTTAGTTTTCTTTCCTAGAAAAGAAACTGAGTACATTAACCATGAATAAACTGAGATTTATCATAATTTGAATAATTTAACTGATTGACAATCCAAAAACTAAAATAAAATAATAAATGAAATAAAATGAAAAATTCTTTAAAAAAGAATAATAATAATTTTAAAAACTGTTCTAATGACACAAAATACTGTAACACTGAAAAGTCTCGCTCAGAAAACGTCTACCTTCTATAGATAATGGGATCTTAACAAAAATCTTTCAAATAAAACAAAAAAACAACAACAACTGGTCACACTTTAGTTTGGGGACCAATTCTCTCTATTAACTAACTATTAAATATGACTTTAGCCTCGAACTCCTAATTTGCTGCTTATTAATGGTTAGTAAGTTAGTTGTTAAGTTTAGGTACGGGGTGAATTAAGGGATCTAAAATATGGTCATTCAGAATAAGGCATTAATATGCGCTTTATAAGCAGTGTTGGGCAAGTTACTCTGAAAATGTAATCAAATTACTGATTACTGATTACTCCATTTAAAAGTAATCAAATTTTTATTTTAACATGAATTATTTTAGATATTTTATGTTTAGATATTTCTATTTTGCGGGAGTCCGTGAATCATTTTATTCTCCCGCATCCCGCACACACACACACACGAGTGTCTACCCGCCCACACCAGCACTCGCCCTTCTTGTCCCGCGCCACACTCTGTTGCGTCGGGTCTCGCGAGGGCAGGTCTCTAATCCACTGGCACTTGACTCCACAGTGCGTGTGCTACATCCTTTTTACAATCTCTAGATTATAAAACACTGCATTCTGTCAGCAATGTAACGCGGCAGTAACGTATAGAGACCTCGGCTTGTAACTATACTCTAATTACTATTTTGAAAATTATAATGCGTTAAATTACTCCATTACTAAAAAAGTAATCCAATTACAGTAACGCGTTACTGCCCAACACTGTTTATAAGTACTAACAAACAGACAATATGCTAGTAATATGCATGCTAATACGCAACTGAGAATTGGTCCCTAAACTAAAGTGTTATTGAATAAATAAAGAAAGAAAGAAATTCAATCTGATGTCTGATTATCTGCTGTGTGTAAATTTTAGGGGTTAGTAAGAGCAGAAAGGGGCGTTACCTCCGGCTCTCCTGTGTCCTGATTGGTCTGGATGAGGATTTTGCCAATGCGGACGTCTTTGCACACGGCCCTAAGCGCGGGCTCCATGGTCTCTCCCGCCCTGAGAATCGACACACCCGTAATCTGCTCAAAACAAGAAGAGGGAGAGTCTTCGATTTCCTTTTTAGGACCTAAACCTTTCTACACAACAGAGAACAAAGACATTTCTATATGACAGAGAAAATCCCGAAACGAGCAGACTGATTAAGCTGAACTACCAAGAGATTGTCCAAAAAGAGTCTAGTGGCACATTATATTCTTACCCTCTTCCCATGAAAGGTTCTGCCCTCGTAATCTTCTCCTTGTGGGGTCTGAACAACGTGAACCTGCAGCAGATTACAGACAATTGAAACATCAAGTTGTTTTTGTCCAAGCATATCATATGTAGCTAAACTGATCTTCCTCTCTGATTAAAAGCCACAGTAAAATGTCAGCAGCAACATCGTGAAGCTCACTAGCTCACTGCACTTCTCCTGTGAGCTTTTTAAGTGTAAAGGTCGCTGTGTTGCTGCTGCGTGTTGCTAAGCCGATTTCTATCATGTTGAGTTTGTTAGTCTGAGTTTCCACTGCGGTGGACAAGTGAGCCAAGTTTCCATGTTCAAGACGAGACCTCCATGCCCACACGCTCAAATCTGTTTGCGTGCCGTTATTATGTCGATCTAGAGATTTTCCAGCAATCCCTCCATTTTCGCTGTCTATAACTATTTTCTCACCTGAGATGGAAGAAAGGACAGCGCTCTCTCGATGAGGAGCCGCATTAACCTCTTGGAGTAGAAGATGAACTCGTCACGACTGGTCTCCTTATTTCTGCAACACAAGCATGGATGACAAAACAGTCATGTGGTTATTTGTGTTCAAAATGTTCAAATTAACATGGAAGATCTTTTTAATAACCTTGCAAATTTTTTATTCTAAATATTTTACATAATATACATATGTTTTACTGGTAAACCTAACATTAATCAGAAATTTCAGACCATAAAACAAATGGACAAACTTAATTTTCCTAACAGCCATTTAGGCAGGAAATATAGTAGGGATTGCCCTATTTTAGTATGCAATAGCCGTTAGTTTACGTTACAGCCTGGCATAACCACACAGCCTGTGACATGGACGAAAGCAACGAAAAAAACTTTCAAAATGAGTACATTTCAGCCACTGTCTTCTGCTTCTTGATATTGGTAGTTGGCCGCAGGTAGTATGAGGGGGAGGGACAATTTCCACCCAATAATGGGTCACTTGTATGTTCTTAGAGGGTGGGGGAAAGCAAACTTAAAAAGAAATAAAGAAAGAAAAAACTACACAACCAAGCAAAAACAAAACTAAAAACAACAAAAATCAAATCAAATCAAAACAAACAAAAAAAACGAATATAAAACATATTAAAAAACAGAAAACAAAAGTAAGCTTAAATTAAACAAAATAAAAAAAAAAAACTACAAAAAAAACTCAACAAAAAAACTTCAAAAGCAAAAAACTAACAAAATAAAAAAACAAAAACAAAACTAAGCTTAAAAATCTAAGCAAAAAAAAAAAAACTCCAATAGCACATCACAGGCTGTTTGCATTTACAAAACTGTGAATTTACTCTTTGTATATCATGTAAAAAAAAAAAAAAAAAATACACATTTTAGCACTCTGTTGGGCTGGGTGTCAAATATAAAATCTGGGTTTTGAAGCAAAACCAGTAGAGAAGCACTGCACTAGCCTACAGACCTCAAATAAACATGATCTAAAAGCATTAAAACTATCATTTTGTTTTGCATTGGGTCCTTCCATGTTACTTGACAGCTGGACAGCCATATGAGATGCTGTACGGTTAGTCTGGATACTTTAAGTACTGGCGTACACTGCTGTGTGAAGAAAACTACTGCGGCATAGATGTATGAGTGTGTGTCTGACCTGATGATGGTGTGCATGCCGCGGACCTGCGGCGTACTCTCCAGAACACTGAGGGTCTGTGGAAGGGGCTGGGCCTGATGGGCAGACGCTAGTGCCGCCCTGTTACCATCATCACCGGTGAGAGACAGAAACAGACAGGAAGTCGTCAGCGCAGTGGATTAAAATGGTACGTTCATTCCAACACTACACAGGCGGAGAGAGACACATGCTCACACAATAGCTACTAGTGCCACCCAAAAACTGTCATTCAAATGTTAAAGGGTTAGTTCATCCAAAAATGAAAATTGGGCTGTTTTTTACTCACCCCCGAGGCATCCTAGGTGTATATGATTTTCTTCTTTCAGAAGAATCCAGTCGGAGTTATATTAAAAATTGTCCTGGCTATTCCAAGCTCTATCATTGCAGTCAGCGGGTGTTGCAGTGCTTCAGTCTAAAAGAAGTGAAATAAAAAGCCCCCATCCATTAAAAAAAAGTCTCTCACACGGCTCCGGGGGGTGAACAAAGGCCTCCTGTAGTGAATCAATGCGTTTTTGTAAGATAAATAACCATATTTAAAACGTAATAATCAATTCAATCTAGCTTGCGCTCACTGTTGTAAACGGAAGCAGTTCCGGGCGGATGATGTAGGACGTCGGCGTTGCGCATGCGCCGCTCAGAAGTGACACACGAGGAAGCGCAGGGGAGAGATCAAAACAAAACAACTGTCATGAATTAGAAGTACAAAACGAGGATTTGTAAAGAAGCATGTTGGAGGATTTCGATATAAGCCAAGAGGAGACTGGTTTTCCTTTGCTAAAGTAAGGAAACTGCTTCCTTTGTTCCCGTTAACAAACGTTGGCAATTTTTAATATAACTCCGACTGGATTTGTCTGAAAGAAGAAAGTCATATACACCTAGGATGCCTCGGGGGTGAGTAAAACACAGCCTAATTTTCATTTTTGGGTGAACTAACCCTTTAATGCGATGTTAGAGCGGTGTGCGAAGCGAGGATTTATAAGCATAGAGAAATGATTTATATAACAGAGAACCAAAGGACAATCTCCAAATGAAAAACTGACCCATTTATGAATTATTGTTTAGTTATATAGTGGTGGCCCCAAAAAGTATGTAGACACTTTTTGTCATTGTATTTGTTTTACATTTTACATTATTTGTGAAATGTTTTGTTCATAAATTGTCCTTGTGCTGTTGATTTTGGTTTGATACACTGCCATTCAAAAGTTTGGTCAGTAAAATTCAGCAAAATTCAAAAAAGGTCAGTAGTAATTTTTATTTATTTATTTTTTGAAAGAAAGAAATTAATAAATTTATTCAGCAAGCATGCATTAAATTGATCAAAATTGACAGTAAAGATCTTTAAATTGTAATAAATATCCGTTTCAAATAAATGCTGTTCTTTTGAACTTTCTATTCCTCAGAGAATCCTGAAAAATATGTATCATTTCCACAAAAATATGAAGTTTTCAACATTGATAATAATAAATGTTTCTTGAGCATCAAATCAGCATATTAGAATGATTTCTGAAGGATCATGTGACACTGAAGACTGGAGTAATGATGCTGAAAGCTTTTTTTGAATAAATTACATTTTAAAATATACTCAAAGAGAAAACATTTATAATAAGTTTTAATAATATTTAACAATATTGCCATTTTTACTGTATTTTGATCAAATAAATGCAGTCTTGCTGAGCATAAGAGACTTCTTTCAAAAACATAAAAATATGAAAACCGAGCCCAAACATTCATACAATCATAGTTATGCATTAAGTGTTCAAATATTTCTGAAGCCACTGTTCACTCCAGCTTACAAAAACTACTGGTTAATCACATCTGTTAGAAAGCTTTATGAGCTCTGAGTAGGTCAGGCTTTTTTGGGAGTATCCCATGATTCAATTTCACAAGCAGTCAGGTCAAAGACTGCATCCTGTCAACAAACAAAACACTGCCTTCAATGTAAACGCTGACAAACTCATGCAGAACAGTCATGTCATCGTTTTTACATTTAAATGAACTGCTTCATTAAAACATAGATATGACAATATGCAGTCTTTGGAAATCACACCAAGATCCCTGCTGTTCTACTTATGGTTTGTAATACAACAGCATAAAATGTAAAAAAAAAAATTTAATTAAATTATAAGCAAATCTCCTCACATATCCCAGCGGAGCTTTCTCTGTGGGGGAAGTGACAAACAACAGAAAAACAGACAATGACAACAGGAAGAGAGGGAAAAGAAAAGAGACGTCACACACTATCAGGTGAAGGAGGATGAGGTGGTCACATGACTCAGAGCAGAACAAGAGTGTGACAGCTGTGAACGGCGCTTCAGCACACTGTGTGGATGTTCTGTGGGCAAATCATCCAGCACTGATTATGACATTCGTTCTCATTTTAAAGGTACAGTTCACCCCAAAATGACAATTTTGTCATCATGGAATACAAAAGGAGCAAAATATCCCAGCTGCTTCTAGGGGAAAATCAAATCAAATCAAATAAAAACATAGAAATGTTATGTGATAACAAGCCTTCTGAAGTCTTACAGTATGTGGGGAACTTTCAGTCTTTCATGCACGCTCAAATATGACGAGCTATGACAGTTTAGATGTCAATGACGATTAGTAATGGAACAAATGAAGTCTGATGTCACTGATCTTGTCTTAAAGAGATAGTTCACCCAAAAATGACAATTCTGTCATCATTTACTCACCGTCACGCATGCTAATTGAGTTTCCATTTAATATATTTGATATGTCTGTGCAGGGATCAATGTTTACAAGAGAATAAAAGACTAACTTAAAGCTGTTCATCATATTAAGCAATTAAACCGCTTGACTCACATGAAATACTTTTAATGTTTATATGAACTTTTTGAATCCTCAACATTTTGGTGGAACAGACTTTCAATGGAGGGACAGAAATCTCTCAGTTTTCATTAAAAATACCTACATTTGTGTTTCAAAGGGATTCTCACCGGAGAGATTCATGCACACTCACACTCTCAGTTTCAATGATGATCCATTTATCATATTGTGATGCATCACTGCGCATAGTATTGTGAGATCCATATCATGTATTGTGAAGTAGTATGTGATACCAAGCCCTAAAAAAAGTCAGTCATACGAGTTTAAAATGGCATGAAAGTGAATAAATGATGAATTCATATTTTTGTTTAAGTGAACTATTCCTTTAAGCTGTGACAGTACCATGCAAATGCATCTTTGGTTGTTGTAGTTTTTGAGAAAATGTCAGTTTTGGTGCGGGTCCTGTTGTAGCTGTCATCCTCTCATTCACACTCACTGACACAAAGGTCTGCTACATCCTGTGTCGGGGGCTGTACTTCCTCATGTTTCTCTCTCTCTTTCTCTTCCTCTCCTTTCTGTCTTTTCTCTCTCTCACACACACTCATGTGCTGTCGTTTCTAGCCCAACGGAAAAATGAAACTCTTTGTAGTAGACATAGGAAACTTCAGTGCGTGCGAGACGCCGTGTTCAACAATAGCTACAGAGACAACCATGAGAGAGAGAGAACGAGAGGGGAAAGATAGAAAGAGCAAGAGAAAGAGAGGTCAAGGGGAGGAAGACAGTGGAGTATTTTTAGATGCCGCATGCAGGGAGGGTGTCAGCTGTAAAACACTGAAGGCTGGAAAAACAGAAGGTATCTGCCTCCCTCCTGACTGCAGCACTGAGCATCTATCCTCCCGTATTATATCA